AAATGACCTTTCACGTCTTTCTTACAACTACCTAGAGATATACACTCTGCATTGGATGGATTGAATTTGCTTGATCCACAAAAYCCACCAACTATTGAGGAGTAGCCGCACACCGCCATCTATAAAATGCCAGTCAGCACGGCGAAGKGTGACAGGTCATCATTGCGTCATCAGGCTCATCGAAATTAACTAGTAGCTTATAATAAATCATCAAATATACTTTATATATAAATACAGAGTATATCATTCAAGAAATTTGAAAATCATGAGTTCGAAATTTGCTGTGAGTCATGATAGCGGCAAAACGCGCGGTCTTGGATCATGGTCTTATCAAGCCCAAAATATAGCCACATCGACTGAAGAGTCATCGGTTTTCAATCTCGGTTTTCTTGTTATCAATAGCGACTCCAATAGACTTTAGAGAAACAGCAATGTCCCGAGGATGTATTTTTGCTATTTTAATAGTTTTCGATAATTTAGGAAAGTTCTGTGTGATTTGCGAAAGCTTTTGTTGATTACGTGACCCCGGTGTTAAGACATTTTCACACCTCTGATGGCCTCAGATTCAAGACCTCTGAAAATTCGTAGTTTTAGCAGCCCAAAAATTTTATTGCATTTTTGCAAAGAAGAAATACCCATGATTTTTCGGAACTTGGTTTTATTTCTTCAGGTCATGTAGCAATACACATTTTTGGCCTCTGAAAATCGTGTATTTTAGCGATGCTGAAATTGAATAAAAACACGCATACATTCAAAAGTTTGCTAAAAATTGTAATTTACGTGTACTTGTATAAAAATAAGCTCAGAAGATGAAATAAACATCCCTTTTAAAGAATATATGTTTTAATTGTAGTTATTTGACGAATTCATTTTTTTATTGATATTTTTGTAGAATCGATTTTTGTCCTTTGTGAAGCCGCCGTAAAGCCGTCGAACTGAAAATGTCCTGGTTTGCCTGAAATAAGTCACTTGCTGGCTTATCGATATTTTCTTCGTCAATAACTCATAGAAAACTGTCTTTGGGAATATTTTGGGATTTTTTGATTTTTCCGTTTTTCACACATGTGGTCGATATTCCCTGACCCGCTCTCTTAAAAAGCTTAATCTCTACAGCTGTGCATTCCTCTTTTAGTAATTGACTCTTTATAATTTTTATAATAGAATATTCAGCTTAACTTACAGAAAACAAAATATTGAAATACTTTAGTCACATTATTCGTATTTCCCGCGAAAATCGTAAAGACCGCGAATAATTAGTACCCAGACTTCGCTCGGTCAGCGCTCGGTCGTTTCCCCAGCTTTTTCACGCCAAAAATGGTCGTATTTTTAAGCCTGGAACCAAAAAAAGACTCGTTTCTATGTGGACAGGGAAGGCATGAGTACTAATTTAGTACAAAATGGCCGATTCGAAGTATTTTTAGAGAGAAGAAAGAGGTGGAAGTTGTGCGATTTTGAGTCATCCGTGTCACTTTGGTTTCTTGCATGGCCAGAATGGGCAGTCACTTGTTTAATTGTTTTAAACAAAAAGCACTATGTGGACAAGAAAAAAGGAATGTAACTGGTAGCAGAATACGGTGTTTCTTTTGTCATAATTCAACTCAACAAAAAATGAGGAATGATTTTCTTCGCATCATGGCAAAAATACCCACGAAAAAAAAACCCAATTACTTCGAAATTTGCTCTTTGAGAAGTCGCACAAAAAAGTGCTAGTCTGGGAGAAGTACAGGTTAGTCCAGTTCAAACAGTAAATTTAGTATTATTATCCGCTGTTTCTTTTTTGCTTTGCGTTCCCATTTTTTTGCAGAGTTGCGACTAATGTAGCACATTTAGCGAGTTTACTGTAATTTTAGATGGCCGTGAGGTCAAAATTCTTTAGTGTCGACTGGTAACTAGTATGTAAATTAGCAAATTTACCGGAAATGACACTGAATTTTGTGTGCGATGGAATTGTTTTCTTTTGTTTGTCTATTACGCATTCCTTTGAATTTGGATCTTTCTTATTAAGTTCTTCAATGTGAAGGGGTCATATTTTTTAAAGAACTTTTTCAAGTCAAGAAATCAACATTAATCCAACAAGGTTTGTAGCACATTTAAAGGTCAAATGCAACGGAAAATTCAATGATTTTTTAACACTTGGAAAAAGAAGTTCTTGCTATGTTCAATACATRYGYRAAGYGAGAAAACTGGAAGATTTTTATTTTTCGAGATATCAGGGATTGAAAAGTGTTGTATTTCCGTTGACCGGTCGTTCATTTTACGTAATTAATCGGAAGTTAGTCGGAGACGCCTCCAATGACGTCACAGATGGTTCCGGTTTTTCGACGGTACACTTCCCGCCACCAGAACACAGGCCGTGTTCGAGAAGAATTTCAATGCTATAAAACGAAGAAAAACTCGACATTCTTATCGTGGGGAAAGCAGATGCCCATACTTCAACTGTCGAATCATCTACTGTCAAAAAACAACTAACAAAAATGGTAACATTGTAGATTTTGATAGCCAATTTTGTTTGAGTGATCAACACTGAAGATAAGTTAATACCGCCGGCTTTGTAGAGAAACCTTTGAAAACAATTTCGAAAACAATTTGAAATACACGTAAGAATTTACTCAAAGATAGTATTTCCTTTTTCTCTTGTAACTAGAATCTTGAAATCCATAAAGCAAAGCATAGTTGAACACCTAAGAGCCGTGGCTTGTAATATTGAAAATGACAATATTGAAACTGACAATGAAAGGCCACATCGACNTTCTCATACTCATTAATTATTCATGAGGTATCTAGCCAATCCCTGATTGTAATTTGTACCACGTGCAGTAACTGGATACCAGAGGAAGTACTCCTACCTTGTATTCTATCTTATTTCCAGTTACTTCCACCTTGTTTCTAGTTACTTCTATCTTATTTCCAGTTACTCTTACCTTGATTCTAGTTACTTCTAGCTTTTTCTAACTACTACTAGCTAATGATAATCAAAGTATTAGAAATAATCAACTTAATATAGAATTAATTTAGTGAAAAAAGGTCTTTGATAAATGACTCCCTCACGAAACGATCCCGAACCGTCCAATCTATATGCGCCGTCTTATACCATTACACCACCGAATTTCTGATGCGATTCCTTGSAAGATAACATACTTATAAAACTTATGAATTAGACTCATTAGGAATGCCATGAAAAGCAAACAAAGACGATTTGAAAAGCTTTTGTTTCAGAAAGCCGTTCGGGAATTGGAAAACAACAAACGGTGCTTCTTTATTCAAAATTATGAAAACTAAAAAACTTGGTGGAGATGCAATAAATCAATATATTTCTGTTATATGTATTTCCTTTGCTTTTTCCCCTCCCAAATAATKAATGAGTATGAGAAGACGCCTYGGACTGGAACTAATTGCAAGGACTTGAAATCCCGTCCAGTCCGAATTGGAGGACTTTAAACATTACATGAATACAAAACAAAGGAAATCTCTTTGCAATAATTATTTTAGTTTATTTAGTTTGGCCAGCTTCCTCCCTCCCAATAAAATTATTATTTGTATGATATTTGAATATTATTTCATTACATAATTTTATTGATTACCTGACTTGGTTTATTTTTCTATATTTTTGTCTTGGCTGCTGTACATCAGATATTGTTTTGCCTTTATTTTTAAGTTCCTCAAGGCCTTTTTTTAAATTTTCATTTTCTCTTCTAATTTCCATGTTCTTTTGCAAGACTTGGTATACTCTGGCACACTCATCCTCCAGATTTTCATTTAGCTCATTTATCTTTGATTCCAATATTTCTTCCTCTTTTTTTAGTTTTTCAATAATTTCTTCAGGAACGCGCAACATTTCCTCCTCAAACACTTTGAGGGTAAACCAAGAATCTGTCATTCTTTTCCGTGACTGAGTACTGAGTGAGAGCATTCTCTTGACAAAGCGTTSCACTCTTGTTTTCAAAATGCTGCCTATCCTGTTACTACAATTTGTAGAAACACAATAGCCTAGAGGCTTTATACTTTCATTGAAAGCAGTAAAGTACTTATATGGAATTGCCTGCAGTGTCCTCCATCCCCAAAGGACTTCACCACTGAACTCAACAATATGAAATCTGTTAATTTCCTTAGCTGAGGAATTAATGATATTGAAAAGTTGTGGATGCAGTATTCCTTGTGCATCCACATTCTCTTCTATCTTAAGTTCTTCCTCCATAACCTCCATAGTAAATTGACTTTTTAGCTATTTTAAAGTAAGGCTACATCACTTTGGACAGTCCATTGACAAACTGTCAAT